CAAGAGAAGGATTATGTGCTCAACATGCAGAACCAATAATTTTGTCAATAACAAAAGGTTCAATAGGTGGCATGGAGATAACAGTTATCAGAATAACTGGAAAGGTAAGAACAGGTATGATTATAATAACTGGCATGAATCATATCTTGTATATAATCATCCTGTTAATAGTGCTAAAAAGAAAAATACCTTATCGAAATAAATGGTTTGGAAGTTACAACATACCCCAACCCCATACTAACAATATAGGACCCAAGTTCGTTTGGGTACCAAAATCTACTTGATCTGATTTTGCAGGTGTGTCCATCTTGTGCTGATCTGAATATCATTTTTGTGATACACCGATGCAAGGGGAGTTGTAATTTGTTCCAACCAAGGCTTCTGAACACTTCAGTTCAGAACCCGTGCTTTACCGAGTGTGGTTTCTAAACACTCAGTTTAGAACCCGTACTTAAAATGTTTTCTTTTTAAATTTTGAGCTTAAATGATTCATTACTTTAATCTACTTTCTAGGGGGAGTTTCCTAGAAAGTCCAATAAATGGTTTTGGATAATGATTTTTTTTCTGTAACGAGTACATTTTCTGAACAGGTATTTCTTGAGATTTTACTTKYGTAATTTCTCGTCGTACATAACTCCAATACCTGTTTYAGCTATTCTTCAAACTGTTATTATCACGTTTCTTCTACGAAAATCTTTTTCGATGATAATACACTCGTTTGTATTCAAGATTGTTTTCTGATATTGTTTTTCTTTGACTAATACACATTCATTCATTTTTTTTATATCAGAATCTGTAAACTTGTTCTTACAGATCTTCATTCATTTCTCTCATACATATCGAATAATGAATCGTTGTCGCTTCATTCTTTATTGATTGTGTTTAAAGCCAAATTACTTGATCAATTTTTTATCTGATCATTGTGCTTTAAATAAATAATATTTTTGATCAATCATTGTGATCAAATGTACATAAAGCAATATTTTAGGAGGGACTGAGTGCTTATCAGAAATACCTATATGGAATGCCAAAACCGACAGACCTACCCAAGAGGACAACCATATATGAGTGAGCTTAAATCAAAAAGGGTATGTGTGCTGAGACTAAAATGAAAAAGAGAGGG